GCCCAGGTTGGTTTCCAACCAGGATCCTCAGATCTCAGCCTCCTAAATAGTTAGGATTACAGCTATGAGTCACCGGTTTAACTCTTTATATGTATTTCTGTTATCATTTACCACTGTATTACAATATGTGTTTTTGTATAAGTCAATAAATTTATTAGCATAATGATGTTCTATTCAATGTACAGTAAATGTTTTACGGCTATTTTTTATATAGTTTTTGTTGTTGTTGTTATTCTTGCATCAGTAGTGTGAGGTCCTGGTCCCAGATACTACTATATTTTAGGAGATTTGCCTTGTTATCCCTATGCTTTTGCTTTATGTTCCCTTTAAGCCCTTTTTAAGCAGGAAACAACAATATTCTTTCTTCTCAGTTCTCATAATACCTGTTATCACTGTTAATGGAATGTCATGTATGTGATTCAGTAAAATTCTGTATTATGATTTATAGTCTGATTGACAGTGTAAGTTTTTTATTTGAAATTCGATATTCAATGAAATTTATATTCTAAGTTCTTTACTCATATTTAATAATATTCTGCATTGTGCTTTTTTAAAATTAAGAATCTTTAAAAAATGTTTACTAGTATTAATAGTTTGTAAGGTTTGTTTTGAGACCAGGTTTCCCTAAATAGCCCAAACAGGCCTGCAAGTTCCTATGTAGCCCAAGCTGTTATAACTCTGCCTTCTGGTGTTGGGATTAGAGGCACATACTCTCTTGGCTGCTTGTTTGAAAATTGAGTATCAAGCTGGGCATAGTAGACTGTGCCTATAACCCCAGCCACTAGAGAAGAAAAGATCACTTTGTTTCAATGAGTAGAAACTCTTAGTGGGATTCTTTCATCTCTTGATGGTCACTGACTATAGCTATAAATTATCATATATAACAAATCAAAATCTCTTTATTCACAAAAAATGTCTTATCACCAAAACTACAAAAGCTCATTAATACTAAGCTAGGAATAGAGTTGACTATGGGGTATGTGTTATTATAATCATTATAGTATGTAACCATCTTCTTGGTTCATACCTCAACATAAACCTTTATTAGTGTTCTGTAAAATACTATAAAGTATCACTTGGAGGTGGTAGGGTGTTGAGACAGGATCTGGCCTGGAATTGTGCTATCACTGCCAGCTTAAAGTCACATTTAATAAGAATTATTTTGGTAGGTATGTAGTGGTAGTACATTGTGATTTTTTACTATATTTCTTTAATAATGATGTGTTGAGCATCTGCTTAAAAAAAATCATTTCTGTGTTCTCTTTAACAAAATTTCTGTCCCTATCTTTTGCCAGTTTTCTAGATTGTTTTGTGTGTGAGTTTGTGTGTGTGTTTTGTAAGTCCATGAGGGGTTGAACTCAGGGCTTGGGGGGTTCAACTCAGGGCCTGGGTGCTGTCTCGGGGATCTTTTGCTCAAGGCTAGTGCTGTACCACTTTCCGACATAGTGCCACCTCCAGTTTTCTGGTGTTTAATTCCTGCCTGGCTTATTCAAACTGTGATCCTCATCTCAGCTTCCTGAGTAGTTAAGTGTGAACCACTAGTGCCCAGCTCCTAGATTCTTTATTTTTTTTAAAAAATATTGAATTTTGAGCATCTGAGCATGTACCATATATTAGAAATTCAGACTTTTGTTGGAAATATTTTTTAAAATCCAGTTTATCAGTATTTTATTTAATGGTAGTAGTACTGAGGAAAGTGCTATACCTGTCTGAGACATGCTCACCTCTTGGTATTAAGTTTTAGATGTATTTTGGATAATGTCCTAAAATGACTTTGTTTTTTTCTTATTTCATGTAAGTGAATACTAAAATATAAGCTGCTGAATTTCATGATTTGGTACCTTTTGTATCAAGACAAGTGAATTTAGAGTAAAGAGATTGAAACTCAGAGATATAAAAGTTTGTACTACATTTGTATGATGTTAAGTTATGCATAAGATAATGGTTACAATATGCACAGCAGTGTCCTAATATGGTGGTGATCCTGGTAGCGGTATGGGCCTTTCAGTTACAAGTTGCCATATGCCAGGGTTATACTGTACATTTCATTATCTCAAAACCTATACAATGTGGGTGTTACATCCATTCATATAAATCCATATGTGAGTTATTTTCAGTTGAGGTAATTGAAGTTTACATATGTTAGATATTGTGCCAGTAGTTCCAAAATAAATAGTGGAACCAAGACTTTCAACCAGTTCTTTCTGGCTTCAATGCCTACCCCTCTTTTACAATTTTTTGTTGTAGTATATACTGAAATCAGTCATAAGACTCAAACTCCTATCTCTATTTGTGGTAATGTTCCTCTTACATTATCTATATATTTTCCAATTTTTAAATTTCTGAAGTAAGTCAGCATTTCTTGTTTTATCATCACTGATGTTAACCTACTTGGCTGTGCTTGGGATAGGCTCTTTCTTTGCACTTGCAGGCAGCCCTGAGAGTTGTCATGATACCACTACAGAATTTAGTATTGTTAACTAAGTGACTATGTTAATTGCACAAGATTGTTGATGAGCAGACCTTTTTATAAATAGCTTTTCAGTGCAGAGACTGGAAGGAGAGGTGCTTAGAAATAACAGGGCTTTTTTTTTTTTTAATATGTAGCTAGTGTGACTTGAGTATTCCTGGTTATATTGTTTTCAGGTAATTTTATAAGAGCTAAGCCACCTTACAGGTCAGACTATAGGTAGTCCATTTTGAGTGTTTCTTTAAACTGAGAATGCATTTCTGCCCTTGTTCTACTGTCCCAGCTGTCATTATATAAACTTGTCTTATTCAGTCAACTTCTCGCTGGCTAGCCTCATTTTACCTTTTAACCAAATCATCACACTCAGTGGGACTTGCCATTAGACCTCATCACTTCACTTCCTTTGCCTCTTCCTAGCCCAAAGTGCATGGTGGCTGTCTTGTTGCGACTGCAGTCTTCTAGCTGTTCCTTCCATCTGAACTGTTAACCCTTATTATCTTTACCTAGTGAACTACTTGTCTGGGCATGCTCTTGTTCTTGGTTTCAATTTGTGTGGGGAACTATGGGCTGCTTAAACAAGTACACAGCCAGGCACAAGTGGCTCACGCCTGTAATCCTAGCTACTCTGGAAGTAGAGATCTCGGTTCAAAACCAGTCTGGGCAGGAAAGTCTGTGACACTCTTACCTCCAATTAACCACCAGAAAACTGGAAGTGGCACTGTGGCTCAAGTGGAAGAGGGCAAGCCTTGAGCTGAAGAGCTGAGGGACAGCATCCAGGCCCAAAGTTCAAGCCCCATGGCCGATGGGGAAAAAAAAAGGCACAGGATGGGGGTGGGGGTGGGCAAGGAGAGAATTTTAGGGACAGCGCCCAGTTCCAGCTTTCAAGCCCTAGAATGTGGCTTGAGGAGCCAGACTTTAGTGGCTTACACAACCTACTCAGGAGGCTGAGATCTGAGGATTGTGGTTCAAAGCCAGCCTGCACAGGACAGTCCATGAAACTCTTGTCTCCAAGTAAGCATCAGAAAAAGCCAGAAATGGAGCTGTGGCTCAAGTGGTTTAGTACTAGCCTTGAGGAAAAAAAATCTTAGGGACAGGCCCTGAGTTCAAGCCCCAGGATCCCTCACTACATACAAAATTTGAAGTACATTAATCATACATTTAAAAAATTACTAAAAAGTTCAGTTTATGATGTGAATTATGTGCAATTGCATATTACTGAGATCTTATTTCTGAGAGAGAGTGCAAATGAATGAATTCGTGGTCAAGAAAAAGTGGTAGAAGATGAAATGCTCGTCATATACCAGTTGGCAAGAGCCTCTGTATTCTGGACCTTGATGCATCCATCAGTAGGGTAGTTGAGGAAAATGAAGCTGTTTTAAATGTGGGTAAAGTCATGTAAATAGTATTGTAAATATTACTCAAATTCTTAGGAGCCTGTCATGCCATAGAAATTTGCTTAATAAATTACCTTGAAATTTTATAATAGACTTGAAAATTTTTCTTTATTTTTTGAGGGGTTTGTTTGTTTTTGGATTTATTTTGCTGGGAGCCAGTACTGGGTCTCAAACTCAGTCTTTATTTTTTTATAATTTTTTGGGGGGGTCTGGTCATGGGGCCTGAACGCTGTCCCTCAGCTCTTCAGCTCAAGGCTTGTGCTCTACCACTTGAGCCACAGCGCCACTTCAGGCTTTTTTCTTTTTGCTTATGTGGTGCTGAGGAATCGAACCCAGGGCCTCAGGCATGCAAGGCAAGCACTCTACCACTGAGCCACCTTCCCAGCTTAAACTCAGTCTTAAGCTGGGTCTTAAGCTCTTGCTTGGCTTTCTTGCTCATAGCTGGCACTCTGCCACATGAGCCACACCTGCCTCTAGTCCCCCAATGTGTTTAGCCAGAGTTTATTGTTGAACTTGATTGTTAGGTCTTACCAGACTATTACTTGCGTTATTTTTTTGTCACCTTTGTCCCTTTTTACTTTTAAATATATTCTGATCAGGGGCTGGGAAGGTAGCTCAAGGGTAGAGCGCTTGCCTTGCATGCATGAGGCCCTGGGTTTGATTCCTCAGCACCACATAAGCAAAAAGAAAAAAAGCCGGAAGTGGTGCTAAGACTCAGGTGGTAGGGTGCTAGCCTTGAGCTGAAGAGCTGAGGGACAGCGCCCAGGCCCAGAGTTCAGGCCCCACTACCGCCCCCTCCCCAATAAGTAAATAAATAAATAAATTCTGATCAGAATTTCCCTCTCTGTTCTTTTTCTGTTTTGTTTTTCAAGGCCTGACTTTTTTGAAGAGTTTGGCCAGATATATTTAGAATGTCTTGTGCTCTAGATTAGCACAATTGTATCCTACGGATTAGATGTGCTTGATTTATCATGTTAAAAGTGTTACCACATCTCTGATGTTAGGTATCTTGATTACACCTTACAATGCCAGCATAAAAATGCAATGATCTATTAATCTCTAATTAGCAGCAGCAAAGGTTTCATTGTTTATTCATTTTATTGGCTTATTTTATTTTTATTTTTTTTTTCAAATAGACAACGACAGAACAGCCTTTTATTCAGAAGCTATTTCGTCCAGTGGCTGCAGATGGGCAACTGCATACACTAGGAGACCTCCTTAAAGAAGTCTGTCCTTCTGCAGTTACTCCTGAAGGTAATGTTGTGCATAGCAACATTTCTGTTTTAAACGCTTTGTTACTTAGGTTAGGACAAGCTTGTTTTCATATATACCTCAAAAATATAGATAGGTTTATGGTAATTTTCTATAATATTTTTGGTGTTCCCATGATTTGAGCTGTCACATAGAGTTAGATGTGGAATTTCTCAATAGTACTATTATATTGATTGTATTGGTATGTAAAATGTTTGCAGACATTTCATATTTGTACATTAGGGATGCTTAATCATACCCACATATGCACATGCACACACACATTTCTTCTGTTAATAATTTCCTAATGACTGGATTCTAATTCAAGCCTATGATTAATCATTATTGATTAACTTTAGGAGAAATTTTCAGTGGCACATTGCCATGTTCACTGAAACATTGAATAGCCTTTTTTATTGTATTAGTTTAGTGAAAATTAAGGCATTATTATGAAATTAATATTTTAATGTTGCTTGTGTGTGTTGCCAATACTGGGGCTTCAACTCAGTTTCTTGTGCTCTAGCTTGCCTTTTTCACTCAGGACTAGAGCTCTACCACTCTTCAATTAGAAGCATTTTTGCTGGTTATTTGGAGATAAGAGACTCATCATAGACTTTCCTGCCGAGGCTGGCTTTGAACCAAGATACTCAGTTCTCAGCCCTCTGAGTAGCTTGGAATACAGGTATGAGCCACTGACACCTGGCTCTATTATGTGTAATTTATGGTTATTTTTTCCACAACTCTGTAACTTTTCATTTTATTTTGAAGAATAAAAATATTCCATTTTGGTGAAGTACCCTTAAGTTCCAATTGTGATTTAGAAAATCTTGTTTTTTTTTTTAAACTGGTCTATTGCTCGAACTCCAAGCCAAGGCTCAGTCCCTGAGCTCCTTTTGCTCAAGGCTAGCACTCTACCACTTAAGCCACAGCACCAGCTTTTTCTGTGATTAATTGAAGAGGCTCATACTTTTCTGCCCAGGCTGGCTGTGAACTCTGATCCTCGTAGCTCAGCCTTCTGCATAGGTAGAGTTACTAGCTTGAGCCACTGGCACACAGCTAGAAAATCTTTCTTCTCTTTGCCTCTTCTTTGGTCACATCATAGATATTTTTAGAAAATAATAGTCATTTAAAGAATTTTAAGGAAAATAGCACCAATTAACTGTTTCAGTAAAGAACTGCTCACTGTTTATGGTTTAGTATACCTATATTGTATACACCTATATTTAGTACTCCTGTATATTATGAGGTCTGGAGCATATTGACATACTGACACTCAAGTGTCAAAAACTTTCAACTTATGTGTATAGTACAGCTAAGAACCGGCTGTCATACAATAAAAAGAGAAAGTACTTATAAAACTTAGGTGGCTCTATTGTCTACCACTCCCTACAAAAAATGATTCAAGTGTCAAGGAGGAATTTTGTCTTAATTTATCATATGACATTAGAATGTACTAATATTTATGAAGACGTGCATTAGGTCATTGTTCTTGTGCAGTAACTCATCATGACCTGGTTTATGTGTTGTCTTCTTTTGATTTGTAAGTGCCTAGGGGAGTTAGCCTAGTTAGAGGTAACAGGAAATAATCAAAGGTGAGCTAAGGTAAATTGTTTCTTGTGGTTTTGCTGTAATTAAAAATGACTCAGATTTAAGATTCTGTACTATACCTGAAGTGAAATACTTTATTTGTTCATTAAGAACAACATATGCTAAAGTTCCAGTAACAGAATCTTAGTGTTAGATTTCTACTTTTGAAAAGATAAACATGGTAAGCTTTGCCTATCATATTTATTTCCCGTTCTGGTAAATTAGGTTGAAATACAATTGCCCTTTTTCATCTATCAATTGATGTCAAAGTTTTGTTGGTTAGTCCTGTAAATGTTGGGCACCTCATAACCTAATTTCATACTTCACTTGCTTTACATGTGTAAAGAAAGGCTTATATTCCATGATAAATAAGTAGACACTCCCTGTATCACACTTGCCAAGGAAAACAACATTGTGACTGTTGGTTTTCCCCTGTCCGTTTCTGTCCTGCTTCATGACTCCTTGATATCTTTACAACTATTATTTATCTCTAGGCTTCCCTGTGATGCTATAGAGTTCATTATCAGCCATTTTCTCTGCATTGTCTATACTACTTTGTGATATGAAAGATTCTAAGATGCGAAGGACATAATCCCTTCCTTATAAGCCTTTGGTCTAGTTGGATTAGACAGAAAAATTTACAGTTACTGTATGATCATGACTGCATATAGGCAAAGAATATTAGGAAGAGCTTAGCATTGTCCTTACTGATTTTGGAGAACAGAGTAAGAACTCAAATCTTAAATAAGCAATGAGAGTTGGGGGCATAGCCCAAGTGGTAGTAAGAACGAGACCCAGAGTTGAACCCCACTACTCCACAACTCCACTGTCACCCACATACAAGTGTCATAAATGGAAGATAACAGAAGCTAGGCAAATTAAAAAACAGTAGAGGGTCAGGTCACACATCCCACACATTCATTGTAAATCCTTCACCCAACCACCCATGGGCTGGTTGCTAGAGGGTGATTGGAGCTGTAAAATGTTCCTGTGCCATTTGCTGAAGAAGCAGAATTTTTCTGCTTTTTTCACATGTATGTGCATAAAGTTTTCAGTAACATCAGAAATGTTTGAAAGATGCTGAGGAACTTCGTGAAGTTAAGCCTTAGAAATTAGAAAATCCAGTTTGGGAATTGTAACAAAATTATTTTATTCTTAATATGCTTTTTAGAAAGATCACAGAATAATTGCTATAAGTTAGAAATGAAGTTCATACTTTTTTCTCCCTTTGTTCAGTATGATTAGATTGTTTTTGTACAGTAAATTCATTGTATGATGGGATGGGGTGACACATTTTTTCAGGCACAAACAAGAAACATCTAAATCTCATGCTGACCATAGCAATGTTTGGACAGAATTAAAGCTAGTTGATCACATCTTATGACCTGAGATTTGAAACCTTCAGTAATCATCTGCATTATGACACTTCCTCCTCTTGCAACACAAGCCAAGCCTCCTCAGATTGCCGGTTTAAGAGTTAAATAATAATGGTTTTATAATTTCAGTATTTATACATTTATTTAGAATTTGAATTAGAATAGTTTCCCTTTGTACTTTCCCATATTTGAATTGAGCAGTCATGAAATGGGTCAGCACACACACACACACACATTGTCAATCCTTATTTTAATATAATTTACAAGTATCTTGCTGTTTTTAGTATTTCAAACACTGAAAAAAAATTGTTTTGGTAAAGACAACAGTAAGTTAAACAAAATCAGCTCAGTAAATTTTTCCTTCTTTGCCTGTGTCTCAGGACAGAACTTGATTTTCATTAATACTGAGTGGCAACATAGAGCTAATTTCTTTTGTGATGTTTATCTGGTGTGATTTGAATGTCAGTCAAATTTTCTGTCATCAGAAGCTTTCTTGCTGGTGCTGCCAATACCTGTCATTCTCGCTCTATTTTCATTAGTTGTGGGCACTTTCAGGCAGTGTTAAGTGATGTTGGGTAGATTGCACTCTTGGTAATTTTGCAGCACCATCAGCATTTATATTATCATAGGTGCTCATATTCTCAGTTCTTGGAATGGTATTAAGAGAACAGATGGGCTTCTGTTGTATTGAAAATGGCCGATATAAATTGATTGGAGATGATAGTATTCATCAGACTGACATCCAGAATTTTAATAATTCAAGGGCAATGACTAAAACATCTCCAAAAGTAGGGGACTTTCTTCTCATATTTTGAACATCATCAGAAACTTGTCAGAATGAGTCTTATAAAATATACTCCTGATTTTGTTACTAATTCTAACAAGCATGACTTCTTTTCCAGCTGCCTTGAGTGTAGACATCTCACTTTTCATCAGTTTAGAAACTGAACATTAAAGAGGACCACAGTGGTATTTTCAGAAACCCTTAATTACCAGCCTTTTCAAACAGAGTCAAAGATTTTATTCCATATATATGGGCCAGTTTGAGCTCTCTCAGTGCCTGCATGTTTTGCTGGTTGCTACAGTTTTCATAGAGTTGGTCATTATTTGTGTGTTCTTACCTGATAATAACTATCAAAGTTGCCACGTTTCAAAATTGCATTCTTTTGGGAAATAGGGCTTTAGTGCATATGTGTACTATTTTATAAAGTAAGGTTTTTTTTTTTATCTTGTGTTTTCCCTGTTTTATAATTAACTGTGCGCTCACACATGCATGCATGTACACACCAGTACTGGGGCTTGAAATCTGTCTCATGCTCTTACTTTGCTTTTTTTGCTCAAGGCTGGTGCTCTGCCACTTGAGCCACACCTTTTTCTAGCTTTTTTGCTGGTTAATTGGAGATAAACATGTCATTGAGTTTTCTGCCTGTGCCAACTTTTTACTATGATCTTCAGATCCTATTACTCAGCCTCCTGAGTAATAGGATAACACATGTGAGCCACAAGAACTTTAGCCTTTTTTTAATAATAATTTTTTTAATCAGAGTAAATGGTTACATAAATTTCACAGTATTGTAGGATAGTAATACTTAAAGTTACAAACATTTTTTTTGGAGGGGGTCAGTAACGGGGCTTGAACTCTGGGCCTGGGCACTGTCCCTGAACTGTTTGGCTCAAGGCTAGCCCTCTACCACTTTGAGCCACAACACCGCTTCTGGTTTTCTGGTGGTTAATTGGAGATAAGAGTCTCAAGCACTTTTCCTGCCTGGGCTGGCTTTGAACCATGATCCTCTGATCTCAGTCTCCTGGGTAGCTCAGATGAGTCACCAGTCCTGGCATAGCTTTAATATTTTTGTACAAATTGAAAAAAAAAGCTATACTCATGATAATTGCAAAGTCAGTTTATATAAAGAAGCAATTTAGACATGTTATAATCCTCCTACAAATCCAAGTTCTAGTTAATGAAAGAAAATATAATCTATAGTAAACTATTTACTGTAAGCCAGTATCAAACTCATTATGAAGATAGACTTGCTCAAA